ATTAGTGACTTATAGTTTTAGTTGTTCTCATATGAAGAATTAATTGTAGATAAGGACAAATAACTGACTAAGTGGCATTGACTTATGGCAATGTCATATACCTTCGGCATGCTTTAGTTCTGTGTCTTCTGTGATGGCAGCCTTAGACAGTAGTGATTCCTAAGTTACGCAATGGAAATTTGAAAAAAATACAAAAATGCTAAGCTTATTTGAGGTATGGCTTTTCAAGTCTTCATTTTCAACCAAACTATGGAAGATGACCACACTAAAAGAAAGTAACCAAATTAATCGGAAAAAAGATCGTTTTGAAGTCATTGTGTCTGAAAAACTGAATGATGACGTCAAAAGCATGATCTTGGAGGAAAAATTGCGCATAAAACGGTTTTAAAGAAAACAGCATTTTCTTCAGTTGAATAAGAATTTTTAGTGAAATTGCTTAGTCCCCACTCGTTTTCTTTCCCATCTTATTTAAAAAGGTCAGGTAGTCCATGGTAGGAGAAGATTGAAGTCTACTGTTTTTTGTACACACAGTTTAGGTTGTATGTGATAAATCCCCCAAAGTGCTTCCATTATCTGTAATAACCAACCTTGAATTAGAGTTATGTGAAATAATTGTGAAACAGTCAATAATATTGATTATGTAACCTGAGATTAATAAGTGCTTTGCAATGGATGATGATGGATTTCTACTCAGATTAATTGCATTAGGATTGTCTATGCGTTTTAATAATCATTTTTGGACATGTTCTTTCCCACAACATTGGAACATTCTGTTGGTTCTACCTATTTAAGTGTCAACACAACTGCAGGCGAACTTGTAGATACAGTTTGAAGTAGAATCCACAGAATTTCGTCCTTTAATCGTAGGTACAGGGATTGAAAATGTTCGGCAACTGAGCAAAAGAGATGCAGCGTAGAATGTGCGTTTGATGGCTGACCGAAGTCTTTGAGCTGTCAACTGCATAATCTGGTCACCCTTGAATGGTAGGTTAATAAAGATAGCTTCCTTTGGTACAGAAGCTGTCTTTCCTAGATTTGGTCTATCCTCTCCGTAACAATTGATAAAGTTTTCTGGATAACCATTAGCTAATGAAACTGAATGTATATGTCAAAGCCCATTCAAGAATGTGTCACTCGTACATATTTTGTGGGCCTGTGAAAACAAACATTTCACTAGGGAACGTTTATACTGGATAGGAACAAAACTTGTGAAATGAAGATATTGTCCATTCCATGTCTGTTTACGAAAAATGGATCACTGAATCGTTCCATCATCTCTCCTGGTCATAGTAATATCCAGGAAAGCGAGTTTGTTATTCGATTCTAGTTCGGAAGTCATTAGGATATTTAGATGAATATGATTAAATAGGGTAATAAAGTTTTCAATAGACGTACTATTATTACCAAAAGGACTAAGTGTTTTAATATCCTTAATTGTTTGTATTTAAATTTCCTAGTTTTGTCCGATATTTAATTTAGTATTACATTTCTTATGCTTGCTATATCTTTGCATATTTCCTTAACCCTAATTCCACTGATCTGAACAAATCGATGTCATTTAAGGAACAATATTTCCAAAAGATTGGATACTGAAGAAAGAATATTCTTTTCAATTGTTTTGACTGTACACATAGTTTTGGATGTATGTGATTAATCCCCCAAAGTTCTTCCATCACCTTCAATAACCAACATTGAATTAGAGTTATGTGAAATAATTGTGAAGCAGTCATTAATGCTGATTTTGTGACCTGACATTAATAAGTGCCTTGCAATGGATGATACACTCATTACTGGTATTAATAGTAAGTCTATTGAAAACTTTATTACCCTATTTAATCATATTCATCTAAATATCCTAGTGACTTCCGAACTAGAATCGAATAACAAACTCGCTTTCCTGGATATTACTATGACCAGGAGAGATGATGGAACGATTCAGTGATCCATTTTTCGTAAACAGACATGGAATGGACAATATCTTCATTTCACAAGTTTTGTTCCTATCCAGTATAAACGTTCCCTAGTGAAATGTCTGTTTTCACAGGCCCACAAAATATGTACGAGTGACACATTCTTGAATGGGCTTTGACATATACATTCAGTTTCATTAGCTAATGGCTATCCAGAAAACTTTATCAATTGTTACGGAGAGGATAGACCAAATCTAGGAAAGACAGCTTCTGTACCAAAGGAAGCTATCTTTATTAACCTACCATTCAAGGGTGACCAGATTATGCAGTTGACAGCTCAAAGACTTCGGTCAGCCATCAAACGCACATTCTACGCTGCATCTCTTTCGCTCACATGCTGAACATTTTCGACCTCTGTACCTACGATTAAAGGACGAAATTCTGTGGACTCTACTTTAATCTGTATCTACAAGTTCACCTGCAGTTGGGGTGACACCTAAGTAGATAGAGCCAACAAAATGTTCCAATGTCGTCGAAAAGAATATGTTCTAAAATAGTTATTAATACACATAGAAAATCCTAATGCTACTAATCTGAATAGAAATCCATCATCATCCATTGCAAAATACTTATTAATGTCAGCTCACAAAATCAATAAGTATGACTGTTTCACAATTATTTCACATTACTCTAATTCAAGGTTATTGAAGGTGATGGAAGCCCTTTGGATTAATCACATACATCATAAACTGTGTGTACAGTCAAAACAATAGACTTCAACCTTCACCTACCATGGACTACTTGACCTAGTGAAATATAACTGTTCATTAGTATTTACTTCTGTTTTATATAACTGAGTAATTACCCTGCATTTTATTTTATTGTTATTGTGAACCACATTAGTTGTAAAATGGTTGTAAAGAAAAAACTCAATGATATCATCTCGTGGAATTTGTCTCCTTAATGCCTTATTCAAATTTATCAAAGGGACTAATTGTTTTAATTCTTTGGATCCTATTAATTCTGTAGTGATGCCGCTTACTTTATATTGTGATAATTTTTAAATCTACAAAAGTTTTATTCATAAATGTTGTTCACAGCAATAGTTCAGTTTACATTCACTTAAACATAACTATTGTTTATCTCACTAGTGCATAAGGATTAGGACGAAACTTGATTTACGGAATAATTAACTGCACATTATAGGCGAACAGAACTAGATGTGTAGCGACAGAAGACAAGGGCCAGACAACAGATCGTTTATTGAGAAAATCAAGAGATAGTTATAGGTTTCTATGTACATTATTATCAGCGTTATTGTTAGCAGAGAAGCAACGTCTTCCGATTGCTTGTTTTCCTGCTGAAAGTTATTCTGTCATCTCTTTGTTACTGTTTCTTAGACAGTCCGTTGATATATCTGCTAATCGTATCCGCCCATGCAAAGTCTTCTGTGATTGGTTGTTGAGTTAGTCTTTGTTCTTGTTTTTTTCTCATAACCAAGATTTGGGACAATTTTGTCTTGCACATAGCTCTCACCACAGATGGTGTGATCTGTAAATGTCATTAGGCATGAAGTAATCATCGAATGATGACTTGCGTAACTGTCCTATCCAAAGTGTTCAGATGGAAATCCACAGAGGATATGTGCAATATGATTACCACACTAAGTAAGTAACACAACACTGTTTCTTTGTCTGACTCACAATAACATGTCATTAAATGTTGATTGCAGATAATCAGCAAATAATGATGTTCAAAGTAGGCGTTATTCTTGTTATCATTTGTCAAAGTTAGTCTTCTATCTCGATACATAAAATTTGACTCCGACAGATAGCAAAAGAGGCCGAGAAGGACTTTAGTAAAACAAGCGACTTAACTTCTTAAGCATACTTACCCTTTTTTGGAGGTGTTGATATTCCCATTGACCCTGCTCGAAAACATCTTCCACATGTACGTCTGCAATAAGGTATAGCATATCGTGCTTCATCGTAACATTTATTTTCACTGATTGCTTTACTACAGTATGCAGTCTGATTAACATCATCATGACATCTTTCATAAGCGTATTCTGTAAGAGAAATCAATAGATTTGTATTTAATAATACTTACATTTGGAAAGATCATATTTGAATAAAACTATAACGACACTTATTTTGTCACCATAGTGGTTTTTTGAAAAACATTTAGAAATCTTAAATTCAAAGGGGATAATTAATGAAGCCCTCTAAAGCTGTCTATCAAGAGCTATTCAAAGAACATTCTTTGCAGCATCTCTACGACTCATCTTTTCCACGTATGCTTTTATTCACCAGAATGTTCAACATAAGATTCTACTTCATTGTGCATTTACCAGTTCACTTGCTCCTGTAGAGTTAAGTACATAGAATTCACTAACAGGACATTGTGTAGATATGTCAATGAACAATTACCAGCATGGTTGTCGAAAGGAGAACATAAAACAGTTTTTATAGCTCATTTATGGGACACACCATTACTTTTAATCATTCAGCAAAAGCAGAGATTTCACTAAGAGTCAGAAACAGAGTGAGATAAGGCCATTCGAAATGATTTTGATTATATCTTCTGCATGCAGCCGAAGCTTTAGAAGTCCATATGAAACTCTGTGTTCAGAAATGTTTTATCCAATCTATTCTACTACCATGGCTTTAGTGTCAATGTTATTTTACTGAAATGTTGTATAATAAACTCTATATACTTTATTATTTTTGTAACCGATTATCATTCCTTCGCTTATGTGTTTTTTATCAATTATCTCTAAGTGATTATTCGTTACTTAATTAGAACAACACATTTAAGCGAACAATATTGTTTTCAATTAGATCTCATCAGGTTTAACTCTAATATCCATAGCTTCACAAATAAAAATTCAAATATAAACCAATCATGGTATTTTGTCTATAGGATAATAAGATGGTGAATATAAATTGTGCAATTAGTCATAATGGTAGTAACGATAATAATAATGGTTTTATCAATAATAAGGATGAAAAAGTGAGGCAATCTGTGATAACACGAATAAAGAAAAACAGCAGAAGTAGTCGATAAAGGCTAAGAAAAACAAATGAACCGGTTAAGTAATGCTAGGTTGTTACGGAATTAGATGAAACACGTTTTTAATGAAGATGTGATAAGATTAAGGGATGATAAGAGGAGGGTTGAAAATATAAGTAAGGGGTGGTGGAGAAGTCATCATGTCTTAATAGGCTAAGGGAGGGATAATGATCGTACGAACTTCTGTGTAATACATAGTCTATGCTTAATAGTTCGAATGCCTATCGCATTGGCTGTGTGAAGTAGACGAATACGAAGTCTGTTGGAAAGATTCGGTGGGATACGATTAATTACTTTGAAAGCTCTTGTTTCCTCCACTGCATGACCACTATCAACTAAATGTGACAAAATTGAGCCACAGATTGTTTTGTCTGTCCTTTTCTAAACCACGATGGAATATGTTCACTAACACGTTGGCTAAGCTGTCTAGTAGTAAGCCCAGCATAGCTGTCACCGGAGGTGCAGTTTAATTGATAAATGCACATAGATGTGGCAAAACTATCTTGCGTCTCAATCATTCGTCGGTTAGAGAATGACAAACATAGGTATGCTGCGTAAAACGTTCGTCGTATACTCCTGGAAAGTCTCTGGGATAAAATCTCACTTGATAAGTCACCATTAAATTGTAACTTAATAAATAGAGGTATTTTACTTGCACTCATAGTCTCAGGTTTTCTCTCTTATGCTTTCATATGTTTCTTTATGTAACTGCTCGGATAGCCCATCTCCATCAAGGAATCGTGAATATATTCAAATTCCTTTTGTAAGAGGTCACCTGTACATATCTTTCTTGCTCTGCTCGTAATGGGCACGTAACTAAGGAAGTGTATGTATTGCCCTATGAATGTGGTTTTTCTAAACACGCTTCTCCCAAGTGACCCGTCTTTTCGCCTACTTAGCAAGACATCCAGAAAATGTAGTTTATTATCCTACTCGTCTTCACAAGTAAAAGTAAGCGAAGGGTGGACGTTGTTGAATTTCATCAACAATTCATCTATGTTTACATTCCCATCAGCTAAGATAAATGTATCATCGACATATCGGTAATACATATCAAACTCCTTGATGATGTCTTTCAATTTCTCGTTTTCAAGTTTTGCGAGATCTAATTGAAAACAGTATTGTTCGCTTAAATGTGTTGTTTTAAATGTCACTTGATTAATTAACTGTCAACCCTATCGATTACGTAATGTTGTACACTATTTTTCATATTTTGTTATTTCCCATAAACTTTGATTTATTTAGTTATTGACTCAGAATAATCTCCGACCTTTTCTTATCGATTGACAGCTTTTAAGAGAAGTTACTTAGAGAGACCTCTTTGTTCACTTATCTGTCCTTAAGGTAAGATGTATTCTTCCGTAGAATGTTTGTGTTAACTGAGTATACACCTATTCTACCAGACCAACTACTTTTTAGCTTGTTACAGAAAAATTGTCTCGATAAAAAACACCGATGATTTGCCTTCTTGTCTGTGTTACATAAAAATAACTCATTGGTACACTAGCTGTGTCTTCTTGAACGATTCACCGTAAATTAAAGAAAGCATACCTTCGATTGCAGTTTAAGCAGGCTTTTGTACTCACAGTATCGATGAATAGTGCTCTAAACAAACAAAACAGCTATTTGTTGTGTCTGTTTCTTCACTGCTAATCGAATGGTAATGGTGTTTGTTTGGATAAGGTGAGGGAGTCCCTGTTTCCCAAGTCATTTGTAAATTGAACATCTGACTCTAATGTAGATTAAAGGTCGCATCGTTGCGTTTTTATTGGTGTAGGCTATCCAGTCGTGACATAATTTTTATCTCCTCAGCTAGTAATTTATTGTTCATGTGAAATAATTATACAAATTACCTGTATTTTCTACTCATATTGCCTTCTCAGTCAGTCATCTGTATTTTCCTCATTGTGGGAATAGTATTCAAGTGACCAGTCATATACTCTTGTATGTTGAAGTAATAGTAAGCATGAATCCAAATCCATTATTATCACAGACACAACAATGTTCCTTAGCATTAATTCACTCTATAGCTTCAAATTGTTTTAATTCATATTTCACTATTAGTTCACATTAGTCTTAAAACTTCTGGAAACCGAAGAGGGGGATTCTTTTTAGTTTATACAGAACTAGGATTAAGTGAATGCTGAGAACTATTTGATTTACAGTGGCATACTAGCTAGGATGGAGATTAAAGTGATTGCATGGTGTTTCCGCGCATAATATTGCAAATGTTGCATACAACATGTATCCTAGCTGCGTAGAAAAGTTGATAGAACACCTTTAAAACAACCCAACGTAACATTTGATATGGTTACAACATTCCTCTAAGCATATAATACAAAATTACACAAAACCGACTTTCTGAAGAAATTCAAATCGCAATTGACCACCACCATTTTGAGACAAAAGCTCACAATAACTTTTACCCCCACTCTATTGGCTGTTATCATTTCGTGGTCAAGTTCAATTGAAAATCGAACAAGTTCTCAATAAATTACCACCTAATGTTCCTGTATTGCTGTTTTCAGTGTATATAAATAGTTGGAAACAGTTTGTACTCACGTGATGCATTTTGACAGATACAATGTTTATTTCTGAATTCTCCTGGTTTACAAGGTCCGTCTTGATTAGAACAGTTTTCTGTAAAGTTTAAGAAATAAAAGTAATCAGTTTTTCTTTTTGAATAAAACTGACTTCAGTGTTAAGGGAAATTAAACGAGTTAATGCTTTTACAAAACACAGTACTTATATACCAATGTAATAAAAAAGGCAGCGATAGCCACATAAGTAACAGTAAATCGGTTCTATCCTATTCATTTCGTAAATGGTTAATATGATCAACTACTTGAACACTTCATCTGATATTTCAGATGACAAGAGACCTCGGAAAGAATAACTTTTTGGATGTATAAGTGCTACAGAGGAATATATAATATCCAACGGCACTTGAAAATATATACTGGCGGTTCACAGTTGCGATACTTACGTTGACTTAAACTGAAACCTTTTCAGCCGCACCATCATTGGTAAAGCAGTTACTAACTGTTAGGTGAAGTCAATCTCCTACTGCCTGACTGGAAAAGGTTTCTAACCCTTTTAGCCATCAGATGACTGATTCTAATATATAGAAATTCTATGGTAAAGGATGTATACTGTTGAAAACTCCAGAAACTGATGTGATCAAATGTGGTTTTGTAGGAGTTTAACTGGTTGAAGGTTTGGTCAAAAGGTGACATCAGTTAGAGAAACACTGGAAAATCTCAGTAGGCGTGTGCAACTGAAAAGTCCCAGGCTAGAAAGAAAGAGTTGTCCAGTACTCCGAGGTTTTCCAGTGGTTCTGTAACCGATATCACCTCGTGCTCATGTCTGTACCCAATCGAATCCCCGCAAACTAACACTTGATATTTAATCCTATGCCCACTGGTGACTGGCTGGGTACAAGAAATTACCTGGAGTTCTAGTGAGAAGTTGTAGCCAGCGGGTTCAACAAGCCAGAGAATAAAACAGTCACTTGCCTATCAAAACTGACTGGGGATTGAACTAATTATATCGAAATGGCAGAAGATGGAATTCATGGGCTACTAGATCGGGTCCCATTGGCTAAATGGTCTACGAGGTCACTTTGTGACCGGAAGCTCCTGGGTTCTGAAACCCTCTGTGAGTGAGAGCTGTGAAAAATCCGGAACTTGGGAGGAAACAGCTGTCCAATACTCAGTGGTTTCCAGAGGTTCTCTAACTGCCGTCAGATAATAAAACGTTCATGCAAGCTAACAGCGAGTTATAGTGAACGTATATGTCTGTCTCTATAATTTAACAGAAATCTGTTATTGGATATGGTGCTACCGCTCATTATTATAATTTGGCATCAGACTACGGTAGTTACATGTCTTCATCAAGGCATATTTTCAGGCTTTGGAGTAATTTCATTAGCTTCCTAAATCAAAACAGCAAACTTAAAATTTCATTGTACGTATCATTACAAAGCCAGATCAGTAACAGAATACTTAAAAGCCATAGAGCACCAGACAGTTACTTAGTCCTGATTCTGGAGTTTCCTGCTCAGTACCTTCATATTTCTCAGTGATTCTCTACAATGAAACTAATCAAAATCTTAGTAAACCTGAACTTTGTGAACACGGATCAACGTCGAAATCATAAATTTAGTCAGTAAGTTCTTTATTTTATCCTTAGTCATGTTTTGAATTGAGATATGTGTAAAATATGGTTATAAGATGATAGTTAAAGCCGTAACTTAGTCTGTTATTACTGAATTAATTCCTTCCACGATGGGCGTCGTTCTCAGAAATACATCTCACATACTGATATTCACTAGAATACTTTCAACTGTCTTCTTTCTGTAAACCAACTTAGGCACGAGTGACTAATTTTCATGTTTATCATAATAATAATAATCATAATAATAATGATCTAATCTTCAAGATGAATTAACCTGTCACTTTGCAATTCAACAAAATATGTCTGAAGTTTTAGGTGATCTATTCTAAAAACTATATAATAAGCTTCAAAAGTCATTTACAGTTGCGTTCCTGACAAAACATTGGAAGTAGTAATCATAATAACTTGTGATTGATTAGTTATCTAATACTGTCTCACATACTACTAATTTGCTTCAAGTTTTAACAATCGGGGACGTCTCATAATTATGACAAGCCTATTTGTTAAAGTTAATTTTGTACTTCTTGTTGATTCATCATACTGGACCGAGATGTTCAGTCTCTTTTGGCGTATTGGCTTTTAGCACAGATGCTTCCAAGACGAATGAGGACTAACATTTCATGTGATGGATTGTGTCGTCAACGGAATCGAGACGTCCGTGCTAGAAGCTGACGTGTCAACAGACGGCAAACATTTCCGTTCAATGTGATCAATAATCGTGAAACACACAACTAACAAAAACAAGTAATAACTGATATCTGTTGCACAACAGGTGGCTCTCGTAGCCCACTTAGCCTGGTGGATAACACTTCGGCGTTTGAAATGACGGGTACTCGGTCCATTTCTTAATGGGAACACCATGAACCCTTGAGAATTGCGGATGCATCCATCTGACGAGTCCCTAACAGGAAGAAATATGCATCCTGAATTCCACTGCTATTCATCATCCACCAAACAACATTATGGTAAGTCAACAGGGTAAAATGACCTTGGTTCGATGCTACAGAAAATGTTTAATTCATACAGGAGTGATTACCAGCAATAAAAAGATTCAAAGTTAAGATGTTTTCTAATATCTGAGTCAGTTGTTTGGTATTTAGAAATATTTCTTTAAAAGTTCCGAAGTCTTCAGTACAAAAATAGCATTTTCGCCCTAATTTGAAAGAAAATGAAACTACAGATAAGCATAGAAGACACCTGTATGCCTCTGGCAGGTGCATATATGTTAACGGAGGTCCAGACAAATCGATTATCAATCATAGTAGTGCATGAAGTGTTAAGTGGAATCTGGACTTTCTACAAACAAAATGGAACAAGACTAAGCAACAAAATAGGAATTCAACACACATTCTAAATGAGTGTGGTAATTATGAATTGTCGCATAATAACTGAAAGAATGCTCGTTTGAGTTCCTCATTGTATTTCACCTTATATTTCAAAGAGTTTTAAACTAGTGTGTGTGTCTTGTGTGGTCGTTTTCATTGATGCAACCTTCTTTGAATCCTTCTCTGTCAGATAATTTAAACCAAAGGCATTCATTAAAAGAATGGGAAGCATTCATTTTCACTTCTCTTACTATTTTCTCCTTTACTTTTAAGTCTATTTCCTATTTCAAATAATTTTATCCTGTAGGCCCTTGTGAACTGTTTTGTTTGATACTTGAGTAGAGCTGGCATTGATTTTTCCTTTTCCTTGAATAGTTTTCGAAAACTGATTTAACTGATAATTCGACAATCTGTCGTCAGTTTTTTGAAACCTTTTTGATTTTATTCTGTGAGTTCGACAGTGTATATAACGAGTATGAAGCCTTGTTCAACGGCTTCCTGAAGAATAAATCCCATATTGAAAGAGTGCTTAACTCTCAATTAGGTCATCCTATCTAAGAAATTGAAAAAGTGGAAGTATTTCTTGTTTAAATTAGTACTAAAATACTGAATAGCGGCAAATTTAAAAAAGGCCTCACACAGCTCAGTTCTTAAGCCGATTTGAGATACATTCATTGAGAAGACTTGTAGCTCAGGCTGGTAATGTAAGTTATTTGCTATCTTCCGTGTCTTAGTACCTGACCACAGTCATCTCATCGTCACGCTTGGTGGCATTTTCAGCAATACCTAAGTCAAGAATTACTTATGTTAATTCTGAAGATGTCACAAAGTCGGATGATGAAATATACATGGTATGATGCATTCCGTTAAGGACTTCTACAAGAAGAACAGCTTGCTGGAGTGGAGTTTAAAGATATCCATGATTATTCCACGTTCAAAAGGATGAAAAAACACAAATACTATTATAATAATGAGTACATAATACATTATACAAGTACCAAATAAATAATTAAAACATACTATCACACTGATACAATCGATTTAAGCCAACTGTATCTTCAAAGGATAAATATTTCTCACTAATTGAAAACAATGGTATATCATCTGAGTTGATAATTGGCTCCCATACTGGATTACCGTTTGATGTAAATGTCTAGAAACAAATTAATACGGATAGGAATATTATTAAATAAGGCCTTATTGGCATTACAGGTTTGATTATTGTAATAAATACAACAGTATAGTGTTGGTGGATTCGTTCGAAATTTAGGCTTGAAACTGTAACCTTAATTAGAATACTCACATAACAGTGAAACAAGGGAAGGGAATGCTACTCAACATCTATTTGCATTTCCATGCAGTTGGTAATGAGATACATCTGCTGTGCGAAAGCTACTGATACTACCTGACTACTGGAACCTTGGTAGATAAAGTTCAAACCCATTACTGAGTTAGTGGAAGTCGGGTGACAAGACCAGTTTACTGCCGTTCCATAGCACGAAACAATATGTTAAGAATCAGGTGTTTCTTGATAGTTCTTAATTATTACTTTATTGTGAATACTTTTATTGAAATTGCTTATCTTCGTGAATCAACACCTGGAATAAGAATTTACCAATCATAAGTGAATCACTCTGTATTAATAAGTACGATCACTATTCAGTGTAGTTGAAATACTTTATTGAATGATATTAGACGACACTAACTGATATCCAAAATGTAAACTTTGTCAAGATTTATTGATTTCTGAGACGTCTTGTCATTAACCAATGCTTATTAGAGGATCATCAGAAGCCAGAGAGCACTGCTTTTATTTGAGAGTCTTCAGTGGTCCATATCAATTACTGTACTATGCATTTCTTTGGGATTAATAGAGAATATTCGTAGCTCAGGTGGATGATATTGAATTAGTTGTGTTCTCTGAGCTGGTTGATTTAATTGCGAAGCTTTAGTCGTCCTTTTGGAGAACACCTTCAGCGCAAATTTTGGTATAAAATGAACTGACTTAAATTCTCCATGTTGGATTAAAAGACCAGCATGTTTTCATGCATCCACTAGACTGGATTCCAATGAATTAGCGAGTTTCAAGAGTAAACGTTTCTCTAGTGAACACCAGTAAAATGCTGAAAGTAGCTTTGTATAATATATGATTGATTATTTAGTAAAAGTTAACAATTCACAGTATGGATGAGAAAGATATGTTTAAGAACCACCTGGCAGCACCTTTTAGAGGAGATACTGATGAATGCCATTCTGTAAAAACTATTGTAAAGATGACCACACCGATGAGGTTTAAAGGAATGTTTATCAAGACAAACTCATTGTAGACACACCTTATCTTCAATGCTTTATCTGCACGTCGTTTGCAAATTGATCGAAGATCACCACATTCAATAGCTTTGTTAGATTCTGCACAGTGTTTGTAACGTTCTTCTCACCGTTCTTTCCTTCGATTTCCTTTTTCTAGTGTCCAAAACATATTGTTACTTTTCTGAACATATTTACTGCCATACTACTTATATCTGATTAGAAGCAGCGCTCAACACATTATCATTCTTTCTTCAGACAGTAGTAAAACTGAAGGAAAACTATTAAAGGATACTAACTCTAAGATATTCTGAGATAAATATTTCGAGAAAGGTCTATACATTGTTTCACATGGGAATTTCTCTGCAGTCCTATCTTTTTTAAAGTAACTTCTCTTAACAAATTCACTTTTTGTATACTAATGGTAGCGTGAAACAAGGAATGAATTGAATTCATTTCATATGCTTTCAATTTTTCACATACATATTAAATTTGATGTTTATTCAGTCCAGTGTTTGTGTTTCTGACTTAACAAGATATCGACTGAAATCGCTTGTCCCGTTCGGATGATTTGTTCCTAATTCTTAGACTTGCTTGTGTTTGTCACTGACAAGCAATCATTGAAGGACACTTTTAAACAGTTCAAAAAACACCTTTAGTTTCGTATCAGAAAAATTCATCAATACGTAAGTAGAAAAGCAAAAGTTACCTAATATTTATGAACTAATTCTGAGTCAGTCATTATTGACAAGTTAATATAAATGACTACTAATAAGTAATATAACACAGTGACAAAAACTATCATCCTTACAAATGGATCATATAAACTGATGGATTGAAAGTCAAATGGACGATCGGCTAAAATTGACTGATGATCTTTAATCTTCATAAATTCTGGTAAATATGCTTTATCAATGTTTTCTTCATGCAGAATCACATATTGATCACGATCTGGTCTCATAATTTCATGCATTACACCTAATGCATGAAGCAGTTCATGTAGAATTTGACCAACCTAAAAATAAGATAGGAAAATACTGTTATAATTCTAATAGTTATTAAAAAAATATTTTTAAGTTCATCTAACCACCTGACCAGAGTCATTTTGAAGGAAAGACAGTTACTCAGTGTAAAAGACTTTTAAACTACACAAAATGCAGTCAACAAAATTCTTCCCCAGATTCATTAGTCAATTAAGCAATCAGCCTTACGTTATTTCTCTGAGAAACTTAAATATAATAAAAGCAATACAAAAAACAAGGTACTGTGGATTCAAAAGCATCTAAATGAATGCATCGTCTTATCCACAGTTTATAAGTTACATCTTTCGGAGAAAAAGAATATACTACTGATCGACTGAGAGGAGTAGTCATGTACTACTTACATCACGAGCACTGCTTGGTAACCAGATCGGAGTGACCCAAACACCGGCTTGGCGGCCGATCTCGTCTGCAGTGTACCTGATGTGACCCAGCTCACGGAGCAGAATCACTTCAAACTACCACTACTGGTGATGTGAGTGGAATACACCGAGTCATCTCAATCAATCAGAATTATAGAGTTTTATGCATTTATGCTTGCCTTCTTGTGATCTGAATAATTATGGTTTCTGAAGGAAACAGCAGTGATATTTCACCTCCTCAAACCATACAGATCGAAAATTTGATATCCACATTTAGTTGCTGAAGTCTTAAGAAATCGCATTTTGAAGTTTATGAGAGTTTGAAAACAGAAAAATATGTGTATATTACCTTTCACAGAAGTAAAAATATTTAAAGAATTTTGGTGTTATAAAAAAGTTTAAATGATTAGGACGAGTAAAACAAAAGAATGCTGTCAAAATTTTTATTTTATGTGACATTTTAGTAACTTTAAAATAACTTCTAATTCTATCTAAAATAAGGAAACATAATTGAAGAGCAGTCGTTAGTTGCAAGAAGTTTACAAGTAATAAAAATTCAGCACTTGTATATTACATGGTACGAGGTAAGAAACCAGTATTATTACGTGATCTGCTTGTTACCATAAATGGTGATCGAATAAGCAGGTAGAATAGCATGACATTATGTACCGTAATGATCGTTATGCATAGTGGCTAGTCTGAATTATGACAGCTTGTAATGGTTCAACTCTCCCTCTCTCTTTGTCTCTCTCGGTTGATGAGCACTGACCGAAACCGGAGAATCAGCAGTCTGGTGCTTAGATCACTTTGATATAGCTAACAAGTATCACTGGTTAGTGTGAGTCGTTTTCATCTTCTCATATAAATTAGTTTTATACAGAACAATATTTTGAAGAATTATAAACATGAGCAGTATGTTTTCGTGGTAAATTAAGAGTAAACAAGAAAGTGAATGAATAGCTGAATAAATCAGAGTTAACATACATCTCAGCCATGCATTAATACTTGTTAAAAAGAAAGAAGTTAAACTAGACTAACAGAATGAATAGATGGCATCGGTGGTTCAGTGGTAGAATACTCGATAATCACGCCAAAAGTAGTCTGGGGTTCGACCTCCAGCCGAAGTACTCCTTAACCTCGCTTAACCAGTAGTAAGCCTGGTAAAAAGGGGAGGTTGGGCATGAGGCTAGTAACTCCATTCTCTAAAAAATAGATACCACTGCTACTCAGACTTCAAAACTCAAGCATGAAACCCCATATTCCACTTGGAACGTGAAGGAATAAAAAAAATCAAACAGAATAGATGAAAATCATGTACAAACACAAAAGTAGAATAAAAACTAAATAGGTGATTGTTAAAAGGAGTGCAAAATACTTAATAACCTCTTAAAATGTAAAGTAATTATGCATCCGGCAGACTTTAGGAAATATAAACTTGATGCTCCATTTCTAGATGTCATTCAGATAAGCAGTAGAAACAATTTCCGCATACGATTTAGATCAACGATGAGTTAACTCCATTACTACAGTTCATTTGAGGTTATTTATATGTTAGCTGAACCAGCATCAGACAGCATTCTGTGTGTAGACAGAAGTCTGAATCTTTCAAAAGTGCTTTTATTTTTGGTGCATGTCTCTTGTAGATATTTGTGATTTCATAGTTTTGTCTCTTGTCTTTAGTTTCAGAACCTGATGGACTGTATAATGAGAAGTCAAGTGAAAGGCCGATATAATCTAACTGAAGCATATGATATTTCTAGTCACACTGCCAGTAACCACCTAATGAAGATGAAGAAGTCATGGAAACAAGTGGTACAGTTATCAGGTTCAGTCGTTTTTTACTTCGAGATGTAGAAAACGTTCTTTCTTCGGTAGATTTCTGTTTACGTTGTAAATTATTCTGAATAATGAGTAATTTGTGACGTTGTAACAAGTGCCTGAGAGGTGTTCAATTATACCGCTTGTGACTGAACCAGTGTCGCCTTTTTGCAATCATTTCATGTAGCGTTCATTAACATGTTTTGAAAGGAAGCGCATAGAATGACCTTGATAATATACCTCTACAAAAGCAGGTGAATTAATATAAACATATTGCAGCGGTCATAGGCTAGAGTTTGCCCTGTAGACGGCTAAATAATACCATTCTTAGAGTTACTACAAAGAAGGTCTTCTACTTTCGTTGCATATTCATTCTTCGTATATTTAAGCTAATCAACGACTAAGGTTACCTACCCATAAATGCTCTTTTGTTTTACTTCATTATAGTCTCTCAGTCATCATATGATTTAGAATTAATGAGAAAAAATCGAGGGAATATGAAATTTAGACTTCTTAATTCTTTAACCTTTTATTAACATCTTGAAAAACTATCTATACAGGCAACTTTTGATAAGAAAAGGTGGAAATACCTTTTTTTATAACCAATATTCATCGGTGAAAAACTTTTCGCTATTAATGTATATAAGTGATTCCATAGTTCCGCTTTTTATATATTGAACACATTGAATATAATACCTAACTGTACTTATGAGTGAATTGACATTTCGGATCAGAAAAAATTAATTAATCGATTGTAGAATATTCAAGTTGAATGTAGTTTCTTCCAGATTTTGCCTGATTTTTTTATTCACTATAATGTTAACAATGTCAAGGATGTTCAAACAAACTATAAAATATATCATAATCAGAATTCTTTTTTAGTTGAACTATTTCTGTTACATCAATTCTCAAAGAACAGTTTGTATTCAGTCGAATGCACTATATATTTAAAGTTTAAATGAATCGATAGCGTACTTTCTTCGACATTTATCAAATAAAGACAATACTTCAGCAAAGATTTCGTTAGGAATCGTTATTAGGTAGAGAATTATTGAAAACTGAGGGGCGCTACACGTTAGTTTCGTCCTGGTTTTCGAGACACTTCAACAGAATACACTCATAACCACACTAGGGATAGTGAATTGGTAGTATTTAGGATTCACAGGTCACTGCATCTCACTCCAGTGATATGGTGGTCGGTGGACTGACACCGCAATCTAAATGTTCTGGGTTTGACCATTGATGGTGTTCTGGGTCTGCGGTACTGAAGAATACTTCTTGGATTTCACTAGTTATATAAATAATTTCGCTTTCTGATGAAATCTACGTTAAAATCAATCAAAATATCCTGTGAAAAGCGGAAGATCTTCAATATATAATAAAATTGTTTGCATTGTGGGATCAGTTACAGGTTTTCAAGTAGTTTTACAGGTATTGGTAGGGACTTCTTCTTATCATATCCCTTGGGATCTGAGTGGAACACATCCCCACTTTGTTCTATTTTCTGCTGACTTCTTAAGCTGGTTCTACGACTACCCAAAATCTCTCATTTCCTCTTCGCACGATCTCTTCCATGTCACTCTAAGGCGACCCATTTGTCGTTTCTTATTTAGGTTTCACTCGAGTGATAGCCTGGTGAGCGATGTCATCCAATGGTCTTCTCACCGTAGCTCCAATCCATCTCGATTTTCTCCTACATATTTATTGAGCAGTAGTTTCTCGATTGGTTCGTTCCCAGAAATTCTTGTTGCTGATATTCTCTAGCCATCTGATCTTCACCTTGAAGCGAGCAAAGGTGGATGTTGAAAAAAGTCCCCATTGGTCTGTTGGAAATGCTTTTCGTGACGAGCGCGCAGTGCAAGTTTCTGACCCATATCACAGAACTGACTGACTGACTTGATAATGAAGTTGAAAATCCGTATCTTGTTGTTTATGCTGGCTGAGTGCTGGAGATTTCCAAACTGATTTCAGAATGTTGAAGGTATACATTGCCTTTCTGGCCTGTAATTGAGACAATGCTTCTGAGATAAGTGAAGGAAGTAATTTCTGTCAAATCTCCCCCGCTGACGACTGGAGCTCGTTGTTGCTGTTGTTTGTTGGTTGGTTATCTTAGTCACCTCGATCTTCTCCATGTTCATCTGAAATGCTCTCTTTGCTGCTTCTGTAGACAGTTTGTTGATTTTCTGTTGCAATTCTCCGTGTTTGTGTGACATTAGATATGAATCGTCTGCAAACTCAGATCTTCTTATCAGTTCGACATATTCCTGCCTTCTCGCTTCGCACAGTCTTCCTCATAACCCGATCCACCACAATTAGGAATATTAATGGTGGTAAAAGGTAGTCTTGTCTTACTCCAGTATTGAGCTTTCATTTGTGGACCACCTCACACGTGCCACAATGAGAAATAACTAATAATATTTGTACATTGATAGTTTACTAGCAGAATATTCGCCAGTCACTAAGGAGCTCAGTGCTCGAATCTAGACCACTGCACTCTTAAATCTCGCCTAGTTTACCAGGAGGCAATAAGCCACAAAAAGAGGGAAAGTTGGATGCATGGGTAAGCACACCCACATAAAAACAACACCAATACAACAACGCCTAACTAAGCGTCCAGTTATTTAACGTCCCTTCAAACTGTTTAGTTCTAATCGACCGACTTGTTTGTGTACTTGGCAAAAACAATGACTAGGTACTTCATTTGAATGGTGTGGTTATTATTCAGAACTTTTTAAGCAGATTAAACGAAGTGCCCCCTATTCAGGCAGTGACCCTGGGTTCTAGTGGAAAGCAATGACCAGTAGGGTGCAGCAGGTTGAAGGTGAGGAGGTAACATATCGAAGAAGACATTGCGAATTGGTCACGCTATGTCATGAATTGGTATGAGTTAGAATTCATGGAATGGCCATTGGATCGGGTCCCAGTGGCTTAATTGTCTACGAGCTCCCTGGTCTTGTAACCAGCAGGTCCTGGATTTGAACTCTGGCGGTGGGTGCGTACGGATGAAAAGTCCCGAACTAGGCTGATGAAACAGCTATCCAGCACTCCCTCGCAGGTTTTCCAGTGGTATTCTAACTGATGTCAGCTCATGATGAAGTCATCCAAACAATGAAACCGGAATTATTTAATTATCTTGGTCTGTTAATCATAAAACTGAAGCAATGACTAAAAGTGAATTTGTCAACAATATAGGCAGCTGTTCAGTATCCTCAGGACCAAAACAAACCCTAGCGTAACCAGTTATACATGAACATGTGATAAATATATGTGCAGCTTCTGTTTTTTTTATTTTCCAATATAAATTGTCAAAACTAATCAGCTTTCTTTGAGTATTGGTTAATTTCTTCCTCCAAAAATGCATAAATTATTCATCTTTGCTATCAAAGTCTTTCACTTTCGTATCAAGATGTTTTTAGTCCTAATGAATTTACTACTCATTTTAAGATAAACGTTTACAATATAAATGCTTACAGATCGACAAGTAGGACCCAAGCGAAGAACTTGATTCTTATTGCGCGCTACACCCAAGTGTGAATAACAACCTCTGAAAAATTTAAAAGAAAATATTTTTAAAATTGTAGGATCTTTTGAAATATCACAAAATGAAATGTTATGATAGAGAATATTTCTGGCTAATGTTGTGAGTGTTGTGCTGTTTTAATCGGTGTTTAGAAAGACGTCGTTGTGGATACAGCTTCTGATGTTAGTCAAGATTTCATTTTCATTATTGCCTTACAAGAAAATAATGCTGTAAGTGGCATTGAAATAAGTGACCGATGAAATGCTAAGCTCAAGAAGCAAACGTAACTATTACTATTTCCTTAAATTTTGGATGAAACAAACAGCTTCGACAGTACATCCCCATTGCATCCTGTTTTCTGTAGTTCTCCTTAGATGGCTGTATGATCGCCCATAAGCCCATACCTTCTTTTCACATGATCTCCTCCATGTCACCCTCGGATCTAAGCCCAATGAAGGGTTACAAATTAACAAGCTAATTAGTTGTTATACTTCTCCATAGTGTTTCAAATGAAATGACAGTCAAAATGTATCCAGTTAGCCATTTTGTTTCATCTAAAATCTTCGAAAGTCTTCTGTCTAATACCTACTGACTGTGTCTCCTCAAATGAAACTGGGGATTTAAGAGATAAACAGTCTGTTAGGGTTAAAAGTGCAGTCAGTTTTCTTTACGGTGAGTTTTCTATAGTCTGGTTTGTAAGGGTTAGTTATGTTTTTACGAGTTGATCGCGGATCGATATCAGTTAGAGAAGCATGGAAAACCAGGGAGTACTGGGCAACTGTTTCATCCTAGTTTGGGAATCATCGGCAGTACGAACCCAGGACCTTCCTGTTACAAGGCAAGGTCGTATGCTATTCAGCCACTGGGACCCGATTCAATGAGGGGGACGCTAAATCACGAATTGGTAGAAGTTAGAATTCATGAGCCATGGAATCATGTCCCAGCGGTTGAATGGTATACGAGCTTGCCTTGTAACCGGAAGGTCCTGGGTTTGAATCCCAGTGGGTGCGTACTGGCGATGATTCCCAAACTAGGATGAAACAGTTGTCCAGTACTCCCTGGTGTACGGTGACCATTTTTACAAACAGAAAATTGCTCAAGTTAACCTACTACAAAGTGAATACACACCTTTTGAATCTTTCATGTAGTGGTTTTTTATCCCTCACATTACGATTATTACGTTTTCAGTGACTAAACTGTGAATAGACAAGAACAGAATTCACCTAAGTTTCCATACCCTCAGGTTTATCAAAACATAAAAGCTATCTTTAGTAACCTAGTCAACATTATCTCACTCGTTAAACTTTCCACTTATAACTAGACAGCAACAGCAGGTACACAAGTTAGTCAGCAAATAATGTAATCATAGCCACTCACATGTACAGATAGCAGGCGCACTTATTCTGAGATGAATTTCTACTACTGTGGTGAGAGCTAGCTGCAAGCTAAAACAATTTACGTCAATGTTACGTCCCGAATCGGGGTCATGTGAAAAAACAATAACAAAGCTTACTTAACCTTGAGGAACTCAACAACCAATCACAGCAGACTTAAAATATGCAAACAGGATTCGTAGATATATGGCTTAACTTTCTAAGAAACGGTCACAAGCAGTATAGAATAACCTTCACCAGGAAAACAGGCAATCAGAAGACATTGCTTCTCAGCTAACAATAGCGCTAATAATAATGTGCATAAAAATCTATAAATACCTCTTGATTTTCCCCATAAACCAATTAGTACCAGTAATAATAATAACGACAAAAATTTTATTTTCTCTGAAGCTAATAATTAAATAAATCTACTTACCTTTGCCCACGACCTCTTATTCGTATCAAATGCCTATCTACTAGATTGCGTGTATTTCTTCTTGAAGTCATATCTTGAAATTGTATACATGTTTCTGCCTCAATAATTGATATAGCCTTTTTGATTAACAAGACGTCGACTTCTACAAAAGATGAAGAGAATTAATGAAGTGAGAATAATTTATACAACTGCATAGTATTAAATAAATTTTCTTATAAACCGATATCTGATACAAAAACAATGAAATCCTGTAAACACTGTGTTACTCTGCTTTCTTTAAACTAGAGTATACTTTAAAAGTGAACCAGATAAAGACAGGAACTTCATTGTTATTGTTTGTTATTTATATCATTCATTCCCTGAGTCTCGAGTGAGACATACGGCTTCAGTGGCGAATCTCCATTGCACATGGTTAATCTTCATAGCTTTCAACTGGATCCACAAATGACCACAAACCTTCACCTCCTCTTCGCATGATTTCCTCTACGCAATCCTTGAATACCCATACAGTCGAGCCCCATTCGGGTTCCACTAGACGGTGTGGTGTGTGATATCAACCAATGGTTTACTCGGCGTATGTCCAGTTGGTCTCCATTTTCCCTGGTCTTCAGTATAGAGCCAGCAAAGACGTCAATTGTTGAAGGAAGTCTTCGCCAGCCTGTTGTAAGTGCTTAAGTGATGTCAGTGCTGAGTGTCTGAACCATGTAGAAGCACTGGAATAATATTGGTGTCACACTTTTAAATCTTTGTCCTTTTGTTGGGTGCTGCAGATTTATACACTGATGCTAGAGCAATGATCGTCTGCTTTGCTTCTTCTACTCAGTTTTCAGTAAATGGGTGTCACGAAATTGAACAATTTTAAGTGCGTTTGAATCACAATTTACAAAGTTCGATGTGATAATTCACCACGATTTCCTTAGAAAACCCTGAATATGCAGATCACATTTAGCAATCTGCTTGATACTTTAAATACCAGTCAAGAAAGTACGTATAAATGAACAAAAGTACATACTATTAATTGTTCTTAGCATCTGCGAAACTACTTACAACAACCAGTGAAACTTACTCGCCAGGTCGAAATTATGTAAACACCGAAGGGCTATTTTGCTCGCTTGGAGCCTTACACAGCAGCAGTATGCACGGCTTGCAACCTTGAATGGTTTTCTAATCACTTTAAAAGGAGTAGTCCGTAATTATAACACTTCGGAAACGTTATCTACCCCCATTATTGGCACAACTGTTTACAATTTATGCAAGTACGCTTAACACATTTGTTCTTTGAATGAACTTGAAAGAAATGCATGGAATATTCGACAATGGTTAGGTGAAGGATAACTAGTGATGCCATTTCGTAAGATGAGTTCAGCTTTTATTTCAAAATAATTACGACGCTTGAAAAAATACCTAACTTATGATTTGCTAAAACATGACAGAGCCAATCGTCACCTATAAAGATAACAAAACTTCTAGTAGTTAACTCTACGCAACATGTTTTAGCCTATTTGTAATTCGTCTCTTGGATGTACCTATATCCCGAAGACTGTAACTAATTAACAAGATAGAAATCATCGAGATTATGTGATCTTTTTTCACGAATCAGTCTAAACGTTTTACAGTGAAATCGAGAAGCGAGAACTCTGTCACTCCCTCTTACATGGTTTTAATCTGTTCATATTAAATTCTGCATTAAAAACAAATATAAACACCTTATTCCTGTTTCTACGCTATTTTTGACATTAATTCATAAATTAGACATTTTGTCATGTAACGCAATCACATATCTGCAGTGATTTCGTTTCGCCACAACTCAGTCATATTTTGATTAACGCTCACTCGCAGTAACAATTGTTTTTTGCACTCATGACCTCATTGGGAATGCTTGTGCGTCAGTTTTCTAGTGGTATAACACTCGCCAACCACGCACTTGGTCCGGGCTTTGATCCTCAGCCTTATACCTCAATTTGCTGCCTGATAGGAAGCATAGGTAAGGGGGGGGGTAAAGCGTGAGGCTAGCAACGACATCCTCACGTAGAAAGAACACTATTGCTTCCGAGACTTCAAGGCTTTAGGTCTAAAGTCATATGTTTTACCAGAAACTCAAGATATGAAAAGTAGGGACAAAAAGCAGTAACAACTGTTTATTTCTTTCACTAGTGTTTAAATTACAGGTGCATTAGAGAAATTCATGAAAATATAATATATAAAGGCAACTGCACAGTTGTAGTAGGTGAAGTGATCTAAAAGAGTATTTTAGTTTTGTGTCTGTTTTTGATTTCATGGGAAATCTGATATATGATTCCAAGAAGTCATTCAGTAATTTAATGAGACACTTAGCCATCTTCATCTTTATCCGTCTTTAAATAATATGAATAAGATTGCAATGTAGCCTAGTTAAGACATACTTATAAAGGAGCCAATAGGTCTAGTTACGTTAATAGATTCAGTCCTTTGAATCAGTAACGAAGGTGGTTACTGATCATGGCTAATAGTCAAGATCAAGCTGTTGAAATAAAATATGTCAGTACAAAATTTCGAGTAAAGAAGCATTAAAAACAAAAAAATTTTCGACAAATTACAAAATTACTCGATAACATATTTTACTGAAAACCTGTCAGAAACAAATGACTTATACGAAAACACCATATGATCAACCTGACAGAAAGGAATAATAATAATGAACTTTTTCAGCATAGAAGCCTCAGATTAGCACTGCCTGCCCAAACAGTCTTAGTAATATATCGTTAGCTGATCGCTTTTGAATATCTGTTATCTTGAATAATTTAAAACTATCTACCCAGCTTTTAGTTTTAATTATGTAGTTAGTTACTTCAGGTAAACAAACTTTGCTTTCTGTCACATATAAGATTTTTTCAGTATATCGAAAAAAACCCTCAGCCGAACCTTTTTTTGAGTGATTCATTCAAGGAATGAATACGAAACAGAAATAGCCAGCAAGGTTATAATGTCCTGCAGATTGGTGTGGTTAATAAACCTTTCGTAATTGATGTATGGTAAGCCTATTTCATAACTAATGAAAACAACTTTAGGGTGTTTTATTTCGATTTAAGAATGACATTTGAGAATTATGGTAGAGTATAACTCCATAATAGAATAATTTTATTGAACAAAACACGTTGATAAAGTAATATTCATTATTATTACTGATGGCGTTTCGAACAAGTTTTATTGCTCATAACCATCTCACAGATGGTTCAATAGTAGAAGGATTTCCTGATTCGACTCCTGGCTGGCAGATCTCTAGGCCTTCCTTAGTTTACTACCCAGCAGTAAGATCGGAAAGAAGGGAAACTTTAGAGTGAGATTAACAACTCCACCACGTTAGAAAAAAACGGTTTTGCCACTAGTGAAGCTTCAAAGCTTGAAGCCCTTTGGTCCAATCAGAAAGCTAGAAAAAGTGAAAGGTCATTTCACCTTGATATAATTGTAAGTAACAAATTCCTCTCGAAAGGCTATTTGTCGTCAAATAATACTGCATCATTGTATATTTTATCACATGAAATAACTTCATTGTGACGTTATTATTTTGTCACAGACTACAAAGATATTTACAATACATTTGTGACGTCAGTGTTTCATTTTTGTCTAATTTTCAAATACGGTTTTGGATTTATTTTTGATATCCAGAGTAAATTACACCATGGACAGACTATGTGCCAACACGTTCATCTACTTATATGCAGATTTACAGGAATTAATTAACTTAGGAATTTGTCTTTATGGGTTATGCGTTTTCAGTGTTACTCTAATTAGTTTCATATTTTTTGGCCAACTGTCAAGACAAGCAATGACGTAATGTGTTTTTGCTTACGAAGGAACTATCAAAAGAAGGTAGAGATGAATGTTTCTATTCGATTAGCTGCGTGCTACTGACGGAGTGTTTGTGTAAATGAACTGAAATATTCTTCTTATTTAATTTTTCTATGGCGTTCTTACGTCATTTGAAAAAAAGGATACAATGAAATCTTTAAAATTAAGAGAAAATAGACGACATTTTCAGATAATGGTTCTCTGAACTGAAAAATATACAAAAATCATAAGCTGAAATTGTTTATATCAAATTCATTAACCCGGTGTATTCGTGTTAAGACTGACATTTGTTTTGGTTGGAAAAATTAGGGAAAAACAATATGCAAGACTGATTATCGACGTGAGAAGGCTTCAATTCAAACAGTTTAACATCATTAAAATAATGATAGGAGTTATATTTGAGTATTAGTTACAGATGGCGATGAAGATGTCAAAGTCAGCCAGCCAGAATCGGAAAGGCAAGATACGCCTTCATCAACTAGAAACCAGTTTGGAAACCTTCTGATTCACCCAAACAGTATAAGAAACAAGATTCGGATTCTCAACTCCAATGTCAAGTCGGTCCTTCTATACGGGTCAAAAATTTGCACTGCGTATCACGAAAAACATTTCCAACAGGCTAATGCAGATTTTTGTCAATAGCTGTCTGCCTTCACTGGCTCCATACTGAGGATCAAATGGCCTGCCGGCCGACCAGAAAGAATTAGCAACAAGGAACTGTGGCTAGGAACAAACCAAACAAGAGCCGATCGCCCAACAAATATGTAGGAGAAAATGAAGATGAATCGGGCATACGTTGAGGAGGCCGTCGAATGACATCCGGTGCAATGCAGGCCATTGCTTTATTTGAATCCCAATAGGAAGCGACGAGTGGGTCGTCGGTACTAGGGTGACATGGAAGAGATCGTGTGCAGGGAGGAGGAGATAAGAGATTATGGGCAATCGTGGATCCAGCTGAAGAGGACTGCAGAAAATGGAACAAAGTGGGGATATTTTGTTGAAGCCGTATGTTCCACTTGGAAGCCAAGGGAATAACAATAATATTAATTAGTTACAGAAGTGAGCATGTCTGAGAGGTTAATCAGGATTCATAAACACGACAACTGAGTTTGTTTTCTTTAGGTTAAGAGACGAACTTAAAAGAATGTGAGTTGAACTTAACAAATACTTCTAACTAAAACTTATGTCAGAGATAGAAAATATTCATTCCCACTAAGATGCAAGATATTTTAATATAGAAGAATCTAGTTTCCTATAGATTTGGCACTTTTAAACATTTACCATAATGCCAACACTTTGATCTCCATTCATTCAACATCCAACAAAATCTAGTGATGATAAAAGTGCCAAAGTAAGAATGTAATGGAAACAAACTATTTCATTTTAGATATTGACACAAACCGATATCAGTTAGGGAGTCGTCCAAAACCAATTATCACAGCACAGATAATTAACTCTAGTTTGAAAATCGTCGGCACTCTGAGTACCCATGACTCTAGAGCCTTTAAGTTACGAGGAGAAGCCATTAACCTCCTAGACATTGAGTTGAAATTTGGTGATAAGTATATTCTAACGTGTCAGCTTCAGATATAGCGCCCTTGTCAAGGAGTTCCATTACCAGGCATGCTGGACCCCACTGGTAATAAATTCTCACCAGTACTTCAGAGAATCAATTTTCTGGCCATTAATAAACAGAAGACTGATGTTTAGCAGTGACTATCCCAAACTGGGACGGAACAGCTGTCCAATGTAACTTGATTTTTCAATAATTCTCTAAACTATATCGGTTTATGAAGAAACCTACACTAAAACTGAATAAAATTACTATAAAACTCAATTTATGAAACAAATTATAGTCGCCAACTCCAATTAGATCAGTTTTTTATGTAAATATAAATGATGTAATGACAGGTTAACAGTATTCTTCCATACAATACATAGAAAACACCGAATAATAAGAGAAATAGACCTTTTATTAATAATAATAATGATTGATCTCAACGAGTTAGTCATTTAAATGCAAAGGTTAAAAATCAGTCTCAGCGAGTAGACGAAATAAGTGAATTAGCAACATTTTGAGAGAAATTTAAGTGAGATAAAATATCGTTTAGATGAGTGTGAAACTAATTAATTTATAGAAAAGAAATCAAACGAGAGTTACATAAAATATTCGAGTATTTTAAACAAAATATTTGCAAATCACAAATAATAATGCTTCAATTTAATGCACTAAATTTCCTGAGGTACTTCACTCAGACAACTACCCATATCAGACTATTTTCTTTAGACATTTTAATTTGATACAGTCATATGAATTTTAGTATTACATTGAAATGATCGTTCAAAGACTAGTTTGTATTTATTCCCTTGTATTTTTGACGGAGTCAGAAGAAGAACCATAGCTGCAATATATGTGTTTTTATTCCTAGGCTTGTCGCTTCACTGATTAAGTATGCGCATCTTAGTTTGTCTTCACTTCATGTAGTACCTATGAAACTTACTTGTAGAAGTTTCTTCGATAATCTTAAAATATTAACAATGCCTACACAATTTTCAAGTATTAGTCTTGTAAGGATTTTGTTTGTTTGATTGGTTGGCGGACTTCATCATCAGCTGAGAAGCACTGGAAAACCTGGGAGCAATGAACAGCTGGTGGGTGCTTACTGACGAAGAGTCCCAAACTAGGCTGACGAAACAGCTGTCCAGTACTCCCAGGTTTTCTAGTGGTTCTCTAACTGATGTCAGCTCATGATGAAATCCTTCAACCTACAAAATTGTAATACTATCTGTGTTACTTTTGAGTAACAGATGTTTAATATATATTCTTTACAATTGATTCGTTTGGGACGTGTATGATTTGAAACTACTCATATCATTGAGTAAGTAGTAAATTTTGTTTTAATCCCCGTAGGAATCATGGTAGTCAGAGAAAGGATAAGCATATATGTATCATCTTTTTGCTTACCGATTGGAACTTAAGCCTTCAAACGTCTTGACCTTTGACGTTTCAGTAGCAGTGGTGTCTTTTTCAAAAGCTGAGGTTTCTGGCCTCACATCCAACCTTTCTTCCATACCGGACTTACTACATGCTAAGTGAGGTTAAGGAATTTGACTACCGATGATCAAACCCTGGACCACGTGAGTGGTTGGCGAGTATTTCATCAGTGGACCGCAGACGCAGAAATTGCCACTCCCTTGGTGGTTGAGAAGGGATTAAAACCCCTGACCCTCTGTTTAGTAGTCAAGCGCCTGGACTATTCATCCACAGCTTCACAGATAATGATAATGATGATAATAATATTAACAAACTATCATGTATATGAGTGATCCAGAAATATTGACTATGCTTACCTGAAAACATTTCACTATAATCCTTAGATTTCGACTTGTCAATATCATCAATAATATATGGGACAATTCCATTTGGCCATAATTTGATATTTTTCATACCTAATGAACGTTGATAACGTGTCAAGTGTTCAGTGTGAATAAATATTAAACAATGACAGCATATTAGTATGAAATTAATAATTAAAATATTTTTTGAAAACATTTTAATGAATTGTTGTTTTTTTATTGTAAATAAGAAAGATTGTTTCAGTTAGCTCTCCAGTGCATAATTTGTTTTAATTGATGCGTGTATTTATATACATATCGTTTTCAGATAAGTAAGGCTCATATATTTATAATATATATATCGTATCTATCTGTTATTATGTTAATCCATGTTAGGGATAGACATTCAACTGGTTCAACAGTTTTTATTTGCAACGATAATTTGTTTTAATTGATTAGAAGACAGACATATTTAACCGGTGAGAGGCAAAAAAACAACACGAAAACGAAAAAACACGAAGAAAATAAATACTAGCCTTGTAACTACTAATGCAAATGGAGGGGATTTCGAGTAAAAAAACAAAACAGAAGCATTATTGTTAATGATATTACTTGATCTGATCTGAAAAGGGGAGTGAGGTGTTTTAAGCTGCATAGCAGATTCACTGGATAAGAATTCGAAATGGCGACTGGAAATCATAAGAAGGCTGGTTATTTATCTAGTGGGTTTAAAAGAAATACCCAGTAAGGATGATTATAATAGCGTTGCTATGTCTACGTAATGATCCAGGTTATATGTTATTTATATAACTGTATTGGGAAAAATTTAACGAGGTGTTTACCTGGACGGTTTCAGAGTTCTTTCTAGTCTGTGGCAGTAGATGTTACTTTATAGTCATGTCTAGGCTTCAGCCTTCAAAGTTGAACATATAAAATTTCATTTTCATGATTTTATGTTACTCTGTTTGGGGCCTAATGCATGAGGGATGCTTAGTATTTACTTACGTTTAAGTGACGCTTATTTACATTGGAGTATTTAGGGGTGTTCTGTCATCTATCTATCTATCTATCTATCTATCTATCTATCTATCTATCTAATACAAACTAAAGAGTTGCCTGAGAACATCTGGTCACTAATTTTCATGACTGTAACTCTATGCATTAGACGCATAAAAATCAATTATGTAATCCTATTGATAAGTTGGTAGAATACCGGAGAAATTCATCTTGGTAATAATTAGTTTTAGCTATATCTCTTGTTATAGCTGTCTACCCAGTGAATAATTCATTCTAAAATAGTCATGAAAAGATAAGATTTATATAGACAATTTAGATGTAATTATAACCTGTTAATATACCCAATAAACTATAGAAAGAAACAAAAACTAATAAATTTGAATAGCGTATTATCAAAAGACTTAGTTTATTCGAAAAATGTAGTTTATCTTCCCAAAACCAATAAACTGGCTGAAGAAGCTCGCAGCGAATACAGAACTCCAGAGGGAAGATGAAAGTGATGAAGATAACAAACCGACAGCAACAGCAACAAAAACCAACACCAATCACCATCAACAGGAAAAATTTGAAATAGGTCACTTCGTTCACTTGCGTGGGAAGCATTGTTCCAACCCCTGATGGGATGGATGAAGATGTCAAATCTGGTCAGAATCGGAAAGGTCTTAAGTAGTGTACAGTTCATAGAAAGTTGCTACAACTAAAATGTATCCTCCGGTGAGTCTTAGTCATGATGGCATTGTTATTAGAATTAAACAACTAAACGATTTAATTGGTTTGCGATAAGTTATAGATTTGTAAATGAGCTCTACTGTCTCATGGTCTATAGAAGCATTTCGCAAAATGTCTACTTTCTCATACATTTATTCCCCTTTATGAATTTGAATAAAGCAAGAACAACAGTGGTTTGTGTAGAATAAGATGGTATTGTCATTTATTTCGTCGGCCTGTCATCAACTGCTTACAGCCTAAATAAATAATTATTATTAATAAGTTCATATACAGAAACATTTTAACATACTTGCAAATTTTACGTGATTTCAGTTGTCAAGAGGTTCCGGAATTGGTAAACGGCGCTGAGAAAATTACACTGATATAGTTTTTACACAGGAAGTCCAAGTTTAAACAAAATAAATGTATGCATACAATGGTAAAGGAGTTACCTAATAAAGATGAAGACTGCATAAGATGATGAGTAACTAATAAATTGGGTAACAATGTACTGAGTTCAACTCAAATCTTGGAGAAAAGAGACAAGCAAAATTACACTATATCAAAGGCTGGTGAGGTTAAAGTCAAAGACTGAGTAATCAAATGAAAGAGGGAATAAAGATATCCAGTTACCATGGAAAGGAAAGACTGATAACTGCTTCTTTCTGGACACATCAATTGGTTTCCAGCTGTTTGATAGAGATTGCATTGGCAAACTCGAGGAGAATTGAGCTGTTTTGTCTGTTTCTAATTTTAAAGGATTTTGTGATTTCCACCTTATGACTCGTATCAAGGAGATGTCTGATAATAGCACTTTTGTAAGCGTATGTCCCCTTGAGACATAGGCTTTTCCATACACCCTCAGAAAATTGGAGGTGTGCCTTTCTTTCTGTTCACCTAATGTGACTGCTACCGCAGATACATGTAAATTTGGATACACAGTTGGAGGTAACTTGAGAAGGGTATCTGTGGACTTTTGACTGCACAAAAGAGCATGCTGTCCGATAAACAGGAACCATTTTAGCTAAAGGATAAGCTGTGGTTAGTATCTATATTCTTCTGACTGATGACAAACAATTTGTTGCTAGGACGTTCAGACACATTAGAACAAGTGTGTTCACTCATAATACTATCTCACATTATTGTGAAACCATGATCTTACCTACTCAGGTATATTTCACAATTCCATGTTAAATAACTACCTTGAAGCGAATGTACACACCAGACTTAGCGTCGAAAATATTTTCTTTAAATAATGTATTACAACTGTATGGCGTACTATTTGAATCATTTCAAAAAGAAAAAATTAACAATGATTTTATTCCAGGCAATAAATATTAACACATAGTGCAGAATTCTCAGCTTATTTAGTTGCAAAATATTTACTCATAATGTAATTGACAGTAAATCATATAAAGTTATGTTGCCATATATGAAAAAATATTTTCTTTTTGATTGAACACTAGTTAGTAACTAGTGCAATATCTTCAGTCCCATCTTTGGTGCAGACTGAATTCTATCAGTCAAGTTTGCAATGTGACCACTATGTTAGGTGGTTCACCATCACGGTGCACTTTGAATTGTTGATATTAGATGGTTCCACGCAATCAGTAAGAAGCCTTGGACTTAGGTTTCTTGCTAGTTGGCATCAGTCAGCAAGATGTATCTGCAACCAGACTGCACCAAACAGAGGACTAGACACATTACACTAGTTACTGACTACTGTCCAACCAAAATATCCAATACAGTCCTACAGGAGGTCAGTCACGAGCCTCAGTAGCTCAGTGGTAACGTTTCTGACTGCAGTACTCACTGGGTGACGCGGGTTCGAATCTCAGAAGGGTCATGAGTGCCTTCTCGGTTGCTGACTGGTGAGTATCGACTAGCATGAAACATAGGCGAGGTTAGGATTCCTGAGGATTGCGTTCAACCATTTCACATCAAAATCATTTTTCTTTCAGATTCTTCTAGAAGTGCAATGGTCATTGAAAACTAACTAAAAATGTGTGCAAGTTCATGTAGCTACCCAAAGATATAATTGGGTGATTAATATAATAAGAAATGAAGAAAATTTTATTAATTTTTTTATTATTTTTGGTTACAGCTTGATGCCACACCGTATTGTCAGCACAAATATGGAATTTTCAGCATGGATATAGGTAGCCCAAATTTTCCAGGCCGACCATAGATATCAGGTGTGCGTCGGCAGGGGATCGAACTCCGGACCATGTGCGTGGTCGGCGAGAGTCCTAACCACTGTGCCACCGACGCACTGGATGAAAATGTAGGTATCTCAATGATTTTTAGAGGCTGTCACTGGTTTGTACTTACATTGCTTTTTAATGAAACAAATGACTTCAAGCTTCAGATTTGAATTTCTAGTAGACAGTGGTTATATTTTTAGTGGTTGGAGTGACTGGCCTCACATCTAAGCTTCCCTCTTTACGGGGCGTACTACCGGCTTAGGGAGGTTTAAGAGTGCGTCAGCCAGGGATTGAACCCAGTATCATGTATGTGGTCGGCTAGCATTCTACTGCTGAACTGTCGACAGTGACAGTGGTAAAAGCGACAAATTCAATTCTTAATAGCTGAGGCTGAACAAGACTAGAATAGGATAGAAAATAAACAACAATGTAATCTGAGGTTTAAAAAAAACCAGTATGGAATGAAATTGTATCACCAAATCCACACTTATTATTATTTGTTACTTCAAACTTTCTTTGCATGTAAATTCATTTTCCACATTTTATCAGCAAAAAGTATACACATACAATTCCACCTGGTTATTGAATAATTTTTTGATTTACATAAACAAAATTGCGAGCGAAATTCAAATTTGACATCTAAAATGTTAATCTTTTTCGTGATCCACTCAAATAGAAGATTAAAAAGGTCAAGTTCTGTTCAGATTTATTGAAATATTGAAGATATGTTATGCTTCTTTTTGAATAGAAATAAATATAGTTTATTTAAGCTGTTAGAATTGAAATAAGTGAAAATGCCAACTATGTACTTTTTTTAATGAGTTTATAGGTTGGACAGCTATGTTGACTTTCTGAAAGTGTCTCACATGATATTTAGTAGGGTGACGTTTGACTGATGTCGTTTTCTGTTTCCAAGTGTTTTTTCTTCTTACATTTTATTGCTCCACTTATTTTTTATATTTTTTAAGACAAGTGACATGATTAATAGGCGGATTAAAACTTTTGATCAGTGATCGATATTAAGGTCAGTTTTTGCATTTTGTTACATCCGACACAGTAGTTTCATATAATCATGTTGTGTTCTGTACTTTCTATCATAGACAGTATGAATGAAAAGTTGACTGTATTCTAGTCTTGTTAGTGAACATGTCCTGACAAAAATTACAAAAAATATAACGCTATCTAAAAACAATTAGTAGTGAGAATCGCTGAGAAATGACGTGCTAAATGGAGAACTGAAGTCATACCGTAACACTCTAATTTAGAATGAATATCCACCAGTGAGCGT